ACAATATATTTCAGGAAATATCCTTGAAGGTAGGAGGCATCAGAGAAAATTTGACAGTTTTGGGGGCTATTCCCCTGTAACAGTCAATAAGCTTTATCCCTTTGTCTGTTACATTGTCATGTGCATCTTCCATGATATGAGCTAGATCATTACACCCATTGGCTGGCTCTGGAAATATTAGTCTTGCATTGCATGAATAGATATAACTTTTAAGGAGAAACCACATTGCTCAGATTTTTTGTTGGTCCTTGTGGCTGGCAAATAGCATAGATAATTTAGTTAAAATTTTCTCAACATTTGGGCTCTATTTTGTTCAGCTTGGTGGGCAGAAGAGCTTAGAATGCTTTGTAATCTATGTTGGTGCATTTTAGATAATGAGTACTGATCCAATTGCATTAAATGTTTCTGCCAACATAATGTTAGGGTTTTAGTTATATATAGCGTTACCACTTGCATATGATTTGAACACCTAACATGTTTCAACATACTAGGTTCTTAGAATCTTCTGTGCATCCAATTTTAGTTTGTTTTAATTTAAAGACTATGTATTGTATTCCCTCTCTATGCCACATAGTTTTCGGCCATCTAGTACAGACACATGTGTATATGTAAATTTGTTTGTTTATTTTTAAAAACCTATGTGATCCGTTTGTAAAAAATTATGACAAGTTTTCAAACATTACAGTAACTATCCTCTGGTACAGATCAGAAATTAGCTCCATACTCATGTTTTTCATGAGGTGATAACCTACCTGACTGTTTAGACAGATGCTAACAGAAGCCAAGACAGTTCTAGAAATTGTGCATAAAACAATAATGAGTTGCAAATAGGAAGTACCCTCATTTTTAAGTGTACAGCTTGTTGTCCTCAAACAAGTTTCTTCAATCAGCCAACTCAAGAACTGACATATCCTGCCTATTTTTATTATTAATGATAGGAAATTAAACAATCTGATTATGTAATTGAATTCATATTAATACTGCTCTACTCATTATCAGGACATTTGGGAAACGATATGTGAGTTGCTGTTGCATCCGCATGCATGGTTGCGCAATGTATCAAATCGCCTCATTGCCTTGTATTTTACTAACATGAACGAGGCTAGAAGAGGTAGTTTTGAGAAGTCATATGGAGCTTTATTCCTTATGATGCCAAGTAGACTGTTTATGATAGCTGTTTCCCTTTGCTGCCAACTGAAAGCACCTATTAGTGATGATGAGGCTGCTACAAAGGATGTAAGGCTTGGTGCTAAGAAGGAGAAGGAAAAGATCCATCATCACCAGAGCAGCCTGATTACAAAAAATCTTGTGTTTACAATTGGTGGTCTGAACTCCTTGATGAAAGAGTGGGCTGGTGTGAACCATACAAAGTTCTGGTTTACCCTTGAGCAGCATGAGCAGGAGCTGTTTCTTAAAGGTTTTCAGTTGCTCAATCCAAGAAAAGCAACAGGAATGTTTTTGTCTATTACTGGTGCTACACATGACCAAAATGATACAGACCATTCTGAGGGCCTTCAATATCTACTTGTCTTTAATTTGCTTAAAGAGCTCGGCAAGCTTGCTCTTCAAATGGAGGCTATTCAGGTTGGTCAGACTGTTGGTGTTTATTTGATTTCTGGAAATGCATCGAACTGAAATTCCTTTCCTGAGCCCACTTGTTAACTTGTTGGTTTTGAATTGCATTTTTGTTTTTATTGAATATATGTTGTGCTGATAAATTTAAAATGCTGTGTGCAGATGAGGATTGTCTTCAATAGTTTCCGGAAAATTTTGCCTGAAATCGGTAAGGATGATTGCCGACATTATGCATCTTATATGATGCTGCCCTTGTATAAAGTTTGCGAAGGGTTTGCTGGAAAAATCATCCATGGTGAGTTCTGACCTTCCCATACTAGATTTATTCCGTATAACTTTAGACCTTCCTGGTTTTGATTGAAATCCTTATGCTGTTGCAAATTTGACCATTTTTATTCGCATTGTCTTACAGATGATCTAAAACAATTAGCACAAGAAGTTTTGGAAAGTATACAGAAGACTTTAGGCACTGAAGATTTTGGACATGTTTACGGTGAGATTAAGAAGAAACTAAAATCAAAGAGGGATAAGAGGAAGCGAGAGGAGAAGCGCATGGCTGTTATCAACCCTGAGCGCAATGCCAAGAGGAAGTTGAGGATTGCAGCCAAGCATCGTGCCAACAAGAAACGGAAGATAATGGTGATGAAAATGGAAAGGTGGATGCGTTGAGAATTGATGTTATGAATGGTCTCCTGAATATACAGCTCTCCGAACGCTGCTTTTGTTTTCCATGACTAAGGCATGAGGAAATGATATTTACTTGCCTTGTATAGTAACCAATAGATACGACAATGGATATATCATCAAAATTTTGATGTCCTCTTCCCATTGCTTTAGTCTGGGAGGAAATTTTGAGAAATTCACCTGTTTCCCTCTGTTTTGATTGCTGAGGGATCTCGTTTACTTGTAATACCAGAATATTTATGGCTCAATTTTTTCTCCAGATTAAAAAGTAAGTTAATCTTTAATATGTTGAGGTTAATGATAGTAAATTTGTGAATTCTTTTAATAATTTTGAGGATCCTACTCTCCTAAGATTCAAACATCTGATTCTAATTAACCTACAGAAAAACTCTCAAAATTCCAACCACATGCCTCTTTCCCATTAATTACCATATCTTGAAAATCCCTGATAACGTTTTTTTTAATGTAATTATTCTAAAGCATGATCTTCAAAAGTTCATAAATACCACCATTATTATGGGGTCAGCAAAGTCCCATCACCTATGCTTTAGTGCTTCAAAACAGAAAACAAAAGGAAAAGAAAGTAAGAACAAGGACGGAGGCATTTTGGGCAATATGGTGAAAATGGAGGGACAAAAATTGAAAGAATCGAGGATAACGCGGGATTCAGGGGCTATCTTAAATTGTAGTTGTTTCTCTAACGTTTGTGTAACGAACCTACCATTCACCTCTCTCTCTCTCTCTCTCTGGCTTTCTGTCTTTCTCTTTCATTTTGCGAAGAAAAGGATTAATTTTCTCTTCCCATCAAAGGTCAAACCTCTCTTTTTCTTCATCAGAATTATGGACGTAGGTTTCTAGCTTTGTCCCATTAATCCCCTTTTGCAGTGAGCCAAGAAAGAAAAAAAAAAAAAAGCAAGACTAAGGTGTATATATATACATATATAAGAAGAACAAGTATGTTGTATCATGCAAATTACATCGAGGTTTCTCTTTTAAATTGTTTAATGGTGTTTTTTTTTGGATTTGATATGGACATATATAGGGGAATTTGGATTGGAAGTCTTGGCCCTGCAAAAATTGTCAAGAGACCAGCTTTCCATCATCCATTATTCTTTGTTTATGATCAATGGGGATGTCAATCGACAATGTTCGAGGACTTGTTATGGCTGTCTCTTCAAGTATTTTTATTGGATCTAGCTTTATTATCAAGAAGAAGGGTCTTAAAAAGGCTGGAGCAACTGGAACCCGAGCTGGTTTGGTTTTTTCCTTCTTTCTTTTCTTCAACCTTTTGGTAGCAGCTTTGGCTAATTAATCTTTTGTTTATGGATGATTCAAGATTGAAATGCTGTATCTTTAATGTGATCAGGCCAAGGAGGGCACTCTTATTTATATGAACCCTGGTGGTGGGCAGGGATGATTACTAGTAAGTTTTAACAACTACTTCTAATTTGTTTTTCCTTCTGTTCTCAATCCTGCCTGTTATCAAAACTCTTCTTGTATTGTGAAGGAAAAATATATGTCTTGTCAATTCCAGACTGTTGAGAATTAATAGAGTTGCCATGAGGTTCAAGGAAATCCTTTATTATTCATCTAAGAGCCCAGCACCAAGGCAATTCTATAGGATAAATTGTGTTATGAGACTTGGGCTTTATTCATTATTGCCCTCCTTGGAGTGTCTGCAGATCCTAAATGACCTGAAAATATAGGAAAAGAGATAGATGTCTGTTTGCAAGAAAAAAGTCCAGGCATTTCTTGTACAATCTTTCAAGTTTTTCTAGCTAATGATGTTGGACTAACCGATTAATCAAAAGATGAAAAGAAACAGTAGCAAATCTACAAACAAATTAAAGAAAGGAAAACAGAAGAAAAAGAGAAGCAGGACATATGGAAAAATAAGAACAATCTTTTTTCAATTTCAAGGAATCATATGAACTCCGAGCAAAGTTGTTTATATGCAATGCCATCTAGTAGCAAAGAGCCAGAGATACATTTTTGTGGGTTGCCATCCATCTTTGTGCTACATGTTTACCATACTGTACATTTTTCCTTACTGCCTTTTGTTTTACTACGACTTCGTGTTCAGAAAGTCCTGATATTGCTGCTTGATTTATGTTAATGTGCTTTTAATTTTGTAGTGATAGTTGGGGAGATAGCTAATTTCGCTGCTTATGCATATGCTCCTGCAGTTCTCGTAACACCACTGGGAGCTTTAAGTATTATTTTCAGGTATGGGATCATGTTCCCATTTTGTCAGTAGAAATATGAGAATCTTTTGACTACCTAGGTTCATCCACATTCATACAAGGAAGTTGTGTAAAAGCATACATATCTCATGCATGTAGGCATGTGGAGACACATGTTTGCCATTGTTGGATGGCTTGTTGGTTTCTGGATTTGAGAAATGTTATGAAGAAAACATTATTATGCAGTGCAGTGCTAGCCCATTTTATCCTGGAGGAGAGATTACACATCTTTGGTGTGCTTGGATGTGCTCTGTGTGTGGTGGGCTCTACGACTATTGTTTTACATGCTCCACAGGAAAGAAATATTGAATCTGTCAAAGAAGTATGGCAGCTTGCAACAGAGCCAGGTATGTGAGAAATTCCTATCTAGTTACCTCATTATGTCTAGCTAAACCTGTCAAACAACTGTGGTGATTAGATAGACAGTCTTGATTGCAATACGCTAACATCCAATGGCATGGATCATTAGTGTTTGTCAAACTAATACATGAATATTTTATGTCCACAGGTTTCCTTGCATACACTTTACTAATTTTGATTCTGGTAGCTGTTCTTATTTTTCGATATGTTCCACGCTACGGCCAAACCCATTTGATAGTATACGTCGGAATCTGCTCTCTCATGGGCTCCCTCACGGTCTGCTGATAACTGCAAGGCTTGTTTTTTTTTTTTTTGTTTTAATTATGGCTTTAACAGTTCTTTGTTGTAAACCATCAATCATCGTCTACAGGTAATGGGTGTAAAAGCAGTGGGAATCGCATTGAAGCTGTCGTTTTCAGGAATGAATCAATTTAAATACTACCAAACATGGGTTTTCACATTTGTTGTGACCTTTTGCTGTCTTCTGCAGGTGAACTACTTGAACAAGGTAAATATTGAAAAGATTTAGATCCCACTGCATATATGATACTCTTTAGGTTTTAAAAGTGATGTAAGTTTCCTCCATATATGTGTACATCTTTTGCAGGCTCTAGACACCTTCAATACTGCTGTCATATCTCCTGTTTACTATGTCATGTTCACAACATTCACCATTATTGCCAGCATGATCATGTTTAAGGTAAGTTCTATACATTTCTTGTTATACATATTATCCTTTTTCATAATTAATTCTGCATTCTATATAACTTAAACTTCTCCACATCAATTAGATTTAAACCTGTGCCATGCATGAGTAATGGTTTTTATCTTACAATCGTCTTTGAATTCAAGAATAAAAACAACAATCTCTCTTCTTTTGGTTTACAATGCAGGAGTGGGATTCGCAAGCTGCAGCAGATATTGCAACAGAGTTATGTGGGTTTGTGACAATTCTATCAGGGACCTTCCTCCTACACAAAACAAAAGATATGGGAAAAAGTCCAAGCGTGAGAAGCCCTGTATTTACCAGCCCTGATTTAAATGCAACTCCAGACTCCAAATAGTTAAAAGCAGATGGTTTTCTTAGTTATTTACCCTCAACAAAAACTGCTACGTTTTCCCTACTTCCAAACAGAAAAAGAAGAGAGTTAGGAGACAGGACCTCTCTTTTTTGAGAAAGGATTGTTAACTGAAGGAAAAGTCATATGCACATCATGTGACATGGCTGACATGGTGGATGTGAAAGGATGCTGCTGCTGCTGCTGCTGCTGCTGCTGCTGCACTTGGAGATAGTACTCCTTTTTTTAACTCCTCTTCATTTATTCTTTCGACAGATTATTAATTACACTGTGAATATGAAACATACAGATCTTTACTAAGAGTGTTATTAGAAAAGGATACAAGAAATTTGTTCATGATCTTCGATCTTAATAGTATATGTTTAGTGTTTCATAGTGTGGACTGTTCAATTTTTGGTATGCACTTATGAAACATAATCTTCATGACTCTTATCAAAGCATCTACAATACTAATATATAGTCATCGGATACCAACTCAGGGAATTTGTTTTAATATATAAAGTGAGTTGAAGTTTTATCAAATTCCTTGATCCACTACTTATTTATTTTCCATTTATTTTTTTCTTTATTATAGTTGGCAAATCCATGTAACTCGAATTTGGTTTGGATGAGAAACATTACCCTCTGAATTTCTATTAAGTTTCATGCATTTGGACTCAAAAAAGTTATTAGGTTCTTCAAAACTTTTGTTTTGCCAACTTATATGCAATCAGTGAAATTGTACAGTTATTATTGAGAAAACATAATAGGTAGGATAAAAAAAAAGTAAAGGGTGAAATGGTTAATAATTACATTTATGATTCAATATATCTTTTCATTGTTCTTTAATATTATCTGAAAGGAATGAGAAGTTATCCATGTGAGGACATAAATTAGTGAATTTTCCATTAAAAAAGGAATTTTAAAAATAAAAAATTAATAAGTATAATTCGTATTATAGTTCAAGGATAAAAAATGAAAAAAAAACCTTTTTTTTCATGAGAATAAAAAAAAGGAAATTTTAATATAAACAACACGTGTCACGAATGCAAAGCAGTAGCAAACTGCAAACAGAAAAATCCTCAACCAACCAAAAACAACCCACTAGATTACAAAACACCAAGACATAAATTTTACCATCCCGAGCTTACCGCTCCCTTGTAATAACAAGAACCCAAAAAAAAAAGGAAAAGAAAAGAAAAAAGAAGCCCTGTTTCTTCTTTTTGTACTCAACAATTTTCTCACTTTTGAGTTTTAGCTCAGTCACTCCAGAAAGCACATACGTTCTCACAGATTTCTTCAATTTCTCTCCCAAATATTCCCCAGAAGATTTCCCCATCCTTTCTTAACTCTAAATTAATCCCCACCTCAAAGAAGGAAAACCCAAACAGTCAAAGCTGTTTCTTTTCTTCAAATCCCTCTAGCTTAAGGTAAGGACTCTTCCAACTCTCCCTTATTTCGGGTGTTTCTTTTGATCTGGGTTGTTTTGATTTTGGGTCCTTTCTTCGATGCCATACAGTTGTGTAATTGATGAATTTGAAGTTACCCTTATAGAGAAAGTTAGGTTTTTTTATTGGTTTATTTGTATATATTGTACCAAATGATGATACAGAAGAGAAAGAAATGGACTGAGGCTGAAGAAAAAACCCTAATTGATAAATATGGTGAGATGGTAGCTGATGGAACTCTCGCCAAAATGAAAACCCGCGAAAAGAAGTATAAGCCTATTGCTTGTTATGTGAATTCTGTGCATCATGTACGTGATTCTATTGCATATCCGTGGCAATGGTCATGGAAGGATGTGTCTACTAAGGTGCAAAATATGAGGCACCAATATTTGCTAGTTAAGCAAAAGATTAAGAAACCGGATGGGGTGGTTGATAATCCAGTGGGTGGGGAGTGCAATGGGGATGATGAGTTTGATTGGTTAGAAGGGCTTACGCATTGGTCAAATTTTTTGCGGTACAAAGAGGTATTTGGGGATGTCGCAGTTTCATATAATAGTAATAATAATAATAATAATAGTAATAACAGTAGTGATATGATGGTGGTTGCGAATGAGGATAGGGAAAATGGAGGGGGATTTGTTGGAGGTAGGGGAATGGAGATTGTGGAGTTTGGGCAAATAGGTCAATCTGGGGATGGAGATTTTGCAGGAATTGATGGGGGAGAGTATGGGGTGTTAGGTTTGGGCTTTGAGTATGATGGTGAAGAAGGAGAAGGGAATTATAATGGGAATGAACATGTAAGGGAGGAGGCAGATGATGGTTTGTTGTACGAAGAAGTGGAGCCAAATGGGTCTACTTTGAAGAAGAAAAGGAAAGTGTTGAAGGGGTTGGAGAAGAAGGCATTTGGGTTTCTTGTGAACCAGTTGGGGCAATTAAGGGAATTAGAGGCTCGGTTTGAACAACGTGAGGCAGAGAGAGAGCGTGAGAGGCAGAAGAAGGAGAATGTGCGACTGGAGCTTGAGAAAGAATGGGAAAGAAAGTTGGAAGAAAGAGAAAAGGGAAGGGAAGATAGAGAGAAAGCTAGAGAGAAATTGAGAAGGCAGAGAATTCTTGACTGGGAAGCCATGGAAAAGGAAAGTCAAGATAGAGAGAGAAGAAGAAAAGAAGAGGAGTTGATACAAGAGAGGGAGTGGGAGGAGAGGATGAATAGAAGGAGGTCAGAATGGAAGAAGAGGATGGATGAAATGTTAAATCAGCACAGAGCAGAAATGGGCCAGATGCAGACTCGTATTCTTCATGAGCAACAAAACCTTACTAGCCAGTTGCTTGGGATTGTTTCACAATGGACTGGTCATCCAGCAGGGCTTTCAGACCATACTGGTGCCAGCAACCATTATCTTTCACAAATGATGCAAAATTTGCACCATGTGAATGGTATGGTTCATGGAGATGGGAGGGTTGACGGTGATAATCAAGATGACCAATTTATTGTTGATGGATGATATCTTATCTGCAACACCATCAACTCCTTGGATAGGTGAAATAAATGGAGGCTGTGCGAGAATGTTTGCTACAATGAGAAGTGTAAAGGTCAGGAATTGTTAATTGCATATTGCGGAGTCCTTTCAGCTAGATTTGCTTGCATACTGATCTATTTAGTTCAAAACGGAGTTAATAAGGGATATAAGAGTCTCTGTTTTGGCTTTTCCTTATCCTTGTCCTTCTGTAACTATTTGTATTAAATATTAATGAAATTCTATTCTGAATTGGTATTATTTTTGTTCTCTTGCCTTCTCTCTTCTATGCTTTTATTTTTTGTTGTCTGAATTTCTAAAATTGATTGTCTTGACATTAGTCTATGGACATATCACTGGCAAACTGAAAAAAACAATTGGATGTTAATGCATTCTTCGAACATAAAGTTATTTTGGTTACTACTGCCTTTAGTTGTTTTCAAATCATAGAAGAAAATGGAATGGCTTTGGTATTCTTGGTTGAGTTAGGGCTTGAAGGTCATCATTTTTTAAGTTTTGAAGAATGAATTACAGATATTGATAGCTTAAATAATTATATTTCCTAGGAAAAGCTCAGAATAGGAAGAGACAATAATATACCATAACCTGAGAATGAAAGATAACTGGCAGTCTGTTTTCTCTCTCTTATACCTTGTTCGACGAGTTGAACATCATTAAACCCTATATTTATTAAAAAAAAAAATCTATCTTCCCTGGAGGAAATTTGGAATCCATGCTGTGCACTAAGTCGGTGTGTGTGCAAATGTGCCTTCACATGTGAGTTTGTCTTTATTTTTCTGCTTTTATGCTTAAGATATATGTAATGCTTAAAGCATATAACTCTGACCATGGGAAAATTGGATTATTTGATAAACAATATTTTTTGGACTTTAAAATTATGAAAGTGGTATAGGAAACTCAAAATTATCTGTAGTTAAAATTTTATATGCATTCTGTTGATTTTATTTGATTGACATATTTGATTGGAGTATCTATGCTCTGTCATTAAGGGAGTTTTTTATCTGCTCTTTTGACTAATAGAAGGAAAAACGATGACTTATAGCTAGAGTTGCATGTGAAATATATACATATATGTGTATATATATGTTTTGGATTTAAACAAACTTAGGGAGGGAAACTGGTTGTATTGATTGAATGAGAGAGTAGTCCGATTTTCACCTCAAATTTTAATTTTACGGAGAATTAAATATGACCGAAAATATGCTTTATTTGTTTTAACTACCAAAGACAAATGGTTTTATTCACTCAAGTCTAATATGCTGGAATTTGTAGAATAAGAACACAGGACAGTTTCCCCTAATTTGAATTTCAGTTGCTTTCCTTATGATTTATCATTTGCACTTCCAATGCTCTCTAATGAGGGCAGTAAATTATGTTTTTAGTGCATTAAACAAATGTGCTCCTTAGGATAGTTTGCAGCAGTGAAACGAAGCAAATCACTGGATTGGTTCTGTACCAAAACCACAGGACAGCTATAGTTGTAACATCCGTATTGTGTTTCCTTTTATTCACTTACCCTTAATCCAATAGTGGTGGTTGTCTTGCTGATCAAAAGTTTCTACTTTTTTCTACTTTTTACAAAAAATTATGTTTTTTGGAACTGAGAGCATGCAACCATTTTAGCTGATACTAGAATCTGCAGAACAGCCTCTCTTGTCTCTGTTCCATTGAATTGTATTCAGAGCATGCTAGAATACTTCAACACCAAATGCAATGGCTTGGGCATACATGCACGAAGAGGAGGTTTGCAAGAAATTTAGAATTCTACCAACACTCTGATCTTCAACTGCATGCATTGCAAAGTTTGGCCAAATCATGTTTATATTAAAATATGCCAGCCATTTTCCCTATTAGTATAGCTTGATTGCAAACCTATCTCTTGTACTATTTGGTATTTGTGCCATTTGTACCACTTATCAGATGATCTCTTTTGTTTAATCATTAGAAATGGTGCCATCACTTGGCGTTTAATGGTGACTGAGCAAGAAGTGAAGATTTATTTATGCAAAGTCTGAAAAACAACTGCACTAGCAAATTTGTATGTTCTCATTTTCTTTCTCGAATAAAGTTTGTCATGAAGCAAGTGGAGCAAAAGCATTGGGGAATTAAGAATTTCAAAGAATGAATTCGTTTTAATCATCCTCTAACTATGTTGATATCTTGATGCAAGTTGAGTCAAGCTTAGGAGAAAGAATAGAAGCCTGATTCAGGTACAGCTGGCGTAGAATTGGACCAAATTGATTGCTTATGCTCTAGAAGGTTAATTGTAAGGCACTTGAATAGGAAAGCTGGAGAAAGATGGCTCCAATATTGAAATACTGTTTTGTCTGTTTTGTTTTATTTGTGAGACAATGTAGATCACAAAATCCACCCATATTCATCCAAGGTACTATTGCATTCATAGACCATCTCCAATCCAAAGTACTTTAATTGGAAGGAGGGGAAAAAACTATATATGAAAATTTCATGCACTAATTATGCAGTAAACCAACTAGCAGAAGAAAATAAAGTTACAGGGCCAGAAACTGTAAACAGGAAATAGAAAAAGATGTTGCTTCAACATTTAAAAGACAGACTGAAAAGCGAGAGGTGATACCATGCTCGGTTGGATTATAAAGATTTCCAAGTTAGCTATGCCATCTCCACCTTGTCAAGAACAAGGAAGTATCCAAATAAAAATTACTGTTACTTGCCTGTGTACTATAAACCAATTGGTGACCTAAAGCATATTTAGTTAGCCATTGCTGAAATGTTCTGCTTCCTTAATCTATAAGAAGCGTCGCCTCCCTTGTTGGTTCTTTTTCATGCCCTTTTCTTCCTCTCGCCCCCCTGAATTTATCAACTGCTTCGGCATCCGACTGCAACCTAGTGAAACTGTAGCCTCCACATAGGAAAATGCATACGATGGGGCACTTGACATAACTTTGGAAACTGTCCATAATCTACCTTTTTAAAACTTTTATATCTGCGTTTATATTAGTTTTAAACATCCATCAATTAGAACCACAGCTTCTTCGCTCTCTGGAATAAACAAAGGTCTGAATGTCTTGTAAGCAATCCTGACACTAATTCTTTTCCTGGACTCCATATTTATTCATTCTCCAAATATCACGAATCGACCTATATTCGAACAGATGCATCATTGTAAAGACATCCTCCACCGTTTAACTATATAAATTTCTCTATATCACGATGATCACCAGCAAAATAGGTATTGGATTACCATGGAATTACTCCTTTGTAAGATCAAAAATCTTAAAGAGAAGCATGGTAGGATACTTGGAGCAGTATGAATGCACGACAAGCCCATCACAAAGAACCCCACAGCCCCATCTCTCAAGCACACCTGAAAATAGCAGCCCTTCTTCTTTGTCACCCTGTTTAGGGTCAAACTCTGATGGCTGCGCTGCTGGTTGACCACGAGACTGCTGAACATATCTCTATGTGTTGGCCTTGATAAACGGGTTCAGTTGCAATTTCACGAACTCTGAATCTCACGTTAGGTTGCAAATCAACCAAGATTTGCTTACGCACTTAGAACCGGTAAAAAGACTTAGACAGGCAATCTCGAAATATCCCCTAAAACATCACTAGGGATTTCTTTAGGCCTCTTCACTCTCTTCCTGTACTTTTCCTTCCTCCTTGTTGTGTCCATGTTTCCTGTCATCAAGGCACAAGCCAGCGATTGAAATATATAGTAACATTGACTATTGAGAATAAGATACAAGAAAAATATATATAGTTACTTAAAAAATAATTCTTACATGATTGCTTAATATAGCTGTTTAAGAAAAATGATTGCCATGTCAATTATCAACAAATTACGGTAATTTTTTTTACAATAAAAGAAAAAACTCAACAGTAAAATAAGAATCTAGGACTTAAATAAATTTTGTGTTTAAAAATTAGACATATAAATATATATATATATATATAATATAAGCAGAATCTAAAATTAATAATTTACCAGACAAAGGGTAAATTAATTACCCGAATTGGTATTGATAGGTCAATTGGATCAAAAGAGTCGGTTTTTCTCACATGGGCTTGGGCCCATGAAAACCCAAATCGGGCTTCTCCATTGACTTTTTGCACTAAAACACAACTTCGCCATTCCCAATTTGGCAATTTTTAAGAATGATAAACAGATGAAGAAAGACACTCAAAGCAAATAATAACCGAGAAAAGCAAAGAGGAAAAGAAAAGAAATGTTGTCAAAAGGGGTTCTAAATTAGGGGAGTTACATTAAAAATTTAATTTTCCCCTCCTTTTTTCTTTTCCTGGTAAGCAATTTCTTAATTTTCGATACTAAAAAATTCCATTTTTTAAAGAGAAAAATTTGGGTATTTTTAATTGATTTTATCTCCTGTTTTTACAGTGCCCCTGTAACTCGCAATTGCAGCTAATTCTTGGAAACCCCACATTGGCAACGGCGGAGTAAATTTACATTTTTCTCAGGGTTTTATTTGCGGTTTTCTTTTCAGGTACCTGCTTTTTCTTTCTCTTTCTTTTTAGCAGTTTTTTTTTTTGGTTGTCTTAAATTGTATTTGATTTTGTTTTATTTATTTCTTCTGCAATGGTTCTTGGCAGACTTTCAATGTGTAGAAAGATTCTATTTTTAGCTAAACAGAGTATTTTTTTTCTCTTAAATTTGTGTTTTTCAAGATTTATTGTATGTTGGGTCTGTTTTGTTTCAACTTATATTTCATTTGTTTTCTTGATTTGAATTTAACTACTGTGTGAAAAAGATTATTAAGTAATTATTCATCTAGGAGTTTATGTGCCAAGAAGAATCTTTTCTCACTATTACTTTACATGATTGTCATTCAGTGGCTAGCTGTTAAATTTGCTGCATGAGGATAATTTTTGCAGTTTTATATCTCTTGTTATTACAGGGAAGAAGGGGGAGGAGGTAGAAAACGGAAAGGAAAGAAACTGGAATTACTTGGGTGGAAAATTCTTTCTTCTATTAAGTGCTAACTTGTAATCATCATTTATTTAATTGTATTGGCATTTTCCACCAATTTAATGGAGTGAGTTCTTGTTTCTGTTTCGTTGTTTTCAAGTATCTGGTCTAGATAAGGTTGGTGTTTTGTATTTTCTGAAATAAATTGGGCTTCATTTGATTGGTACTTTGGCCTCTTTTTTTCTTGCAAAAAAATAAATAGAAAAGAAAAAGCAAAAAATAAAGGTTAAATAGTAAAAGTATCAGTCAAATGGAGCCTTCATATGTGAAATAA